GCCTTCATGTCTACAAACCTCAACATCAACAGTATCAACAATGAATAATGTCACACTGCTGTCAACAACAACTCTAGATACTCCGTCGGTTCCAAGTGCAACATTAAATATAAATACATCATCAGGACCCACAGAACATTTATAATTAGTGAATTCTATGCAAGATCAGTTGACATTCATGGCACAACAACTTACGAAAATTAGTAATACAATTGAAAATATTCAATTAGAAAAAAAATAATAAAGCATCATCATCACCTTCACAAGAAGATGAGATCGAACAACTATTTGAGAACATTACATGTTCAAATGATTTCTTTAAATTGAAATATTTAGAAATAAATTATCAATTAGATATGATCACATGTATTCCTAGCTGCGCATGGAAGAAACAAGCACCAAAACATTTATTAAGTTCAATAAAATCTTCATTTGGTATGTTTCAACATATTGAACACAAGACAGGTCAATCTCAATCACAAAAATTTCGAAGTTTAAAAACAAGTATACAATTACATTTTTTAAACAAATTACATGTATGGGAGTTCACTCAATGATTATTTTAGTCATACAAAACATAAACAATGGTTATTTTACAAAAAAAGTGAACAATATCAAGTTTGGAAATTTGTTTCTCCTGGCTCAGTTGTTTTAAATCGTTTACGAAAAGTAAAATTAGCAAGATCACGTGAACCAAACGATATTGAATAATAGTATTGGTTTCTTAATGTGAATTTGCAATGTATTAAATAGTAGTAGCTTTTTGGAATAAATATTTTAATCCAGAAAAGCCAGTATTTAATTGACTCTCATACGTGGGGAAATTTTTCGAAAAAATTCTGTCGTCGGGGGAAATTTTTAATTTTACCGGCAGATTCTGCACCCCTGCTTCTTTTTTTCCTTTTTTAGAGTGTCCCCCTTCGTCCTTCTTTTCTTCTAAAATCCTTCTTTTCCTTCTTTTTTACTTTTCATACGAATAGGCTCAGAAACATCGAAAAACCTGATTATCAATACTTAGTTAGAGTCCAACACTGATAGGGAGCTCTCAGAGCTCCAGGAAATGTTTAATTTACCTCAAGTGCAATGAAAAGTCCGTCACACTTAGACTAAGATGCGCATGTGGGACTTCAATTTACGTGGTGCCTACATGCAGGACTTGAGGTACGTAAAATGGCGCTTCTCTGAAATCCGATCACTGCTGAGAGTTTTGGGCATATACTCAGTGACGAAGCATAGCTGAACCTGAGCTATATCATGGTCATAGTCTTATACCAGGTATCGCATAATAGATGAGCCTCTCGGCATTTTGACTATAATTTTTTCTCATTACATTTTCAAGAACTAATCTTTTTCTCAGAAGATGCGTCTTAGAATTGTATAGGAAAAATGCATTGAGTATGCTATTCCAAAATGCTCAAGTGAAAAACTACACGAAAAATATTACGAAGCTCGAAAGTCCTCAACTTTCCAATCATAAATGCAGCCTTAGGCGGCTTTACTTTTTGCACTTTGAGATATGAACAAATCTACATAGCTACCTTGTAGCCCTTGAAAAGCTCTACCGTCTTCTTATGATTAGAAGTTTTCCACCCTTAAACTAGTTGAAAGAGAATTGTTTTCTCTATTTACACTTTTCCACAAGAATCATCATTTTTTGAACAGCAGTTTCGCACACCTGTGAAAATTTCTCAGATCTATCTAAAAACAATACCTTTCGAGGCCAACTTTTTAAAATATTTGACTGAGAACTTGTATGTCTGTTATATCCAGGTATGGGATGTTTAATAGCGTTGTGTTTTTGAATACGCTATGTGAGACTAGAGAATGTTTCTCCTTGTTGCCCAGTGCATTTCCAAGAAGTTATTCTTTATATTGTAACATTGAGCGTGGACGAAATCTCTCATATATCATGAGAAAGAGCACGCTTGACAGCGTCAGAAAACTCAGCTTGATATATTCTGATACATTTGTAATCGTTCAAAAGCATTGTTTAGATGTGCTGAAAAGTGCTTTGGAAAATTGAAGTCTTTGAAACTTCGTAGCATTTTTCGTGTAGTTTTCCACTTCAGCATTTTGGAATAACATACTCAATACATTTTTTGTAGGCCATTTCAAGACGCATCTTCTGAGAAAAAGATTAGTTTTTGAGAATGTAATGGAAAAAAGTTATAGCCAAAATATCGAGATGCTCATTTATTATGCGACACCCGGTAGATGGTTGTGCAAGTGGCTTTTAGTCGCGTATCAATGTTTGATCGAGATTGTCGTTCAGCAGAACAAAAGACGCACAGTTTTTATTGGTGTTGTTGTTGATGAACAAAAGCAGAAAGGCAACCGACATTCAGTAGTACGCAGTGTAATTGTCCAATTATATTAGATATTTATTTTATGAATAAAATGGTTTGTTTTTATATAGATTATCATTCGAAATATTCTTGTGTTTTGTTTTGTTTTTTTGTTACAAATAGAAACTTCATCAAATTCATGCTGAAATACCAAAACAAGAAGTAAATTTTGAAGCAACATTTCCATTTTCAACTAATCCAGATGGATTTGATACATATTTATCTATAAATATAAAACAACCAATTGTTCATACTAATCTTTCATTTTCACCATTTATTCAAGCTGATAATATTCTTGCAAGAAAAGAAATTAAATTGTTATAAGATGACTTTTCATGAACGTATATGTAACAAGTACAATAGTAGTGAAACAAAACTCTTACATGATTAGCGTAGTAGTTAGAAGACAAGTATGACTAATCGAGGGTTTTATTTGAAAATTAAAGAATAACTCATGTCGGTATACCGACCAGTACAGATAAGAAAAAAAAACTCTATCGATTCCATATTTAATTCGAGTTCTTCTAAGTTATTTCTAGGAGCTGGGTTCAATTTTCCGTAAGATTCCTTCAGAATAAGCTCATATTTTTACTTTTTCACTAAGGGTTCGAATGTGTGTAGATAGAATTGAGTCTAATCCTGTTACGCGAACACTTTTTTTATTAAACAATATAAATTTATTCTATTAAGCTTGATATTCATATACATTATCCTCGTATATGGAATTCAATTCAAGATTGGAATGTTGATATAAAAACAGAAAAAGCACAAATTTATTTTATATTTGTACATAAAAATTTCTTTCAAGATAAATTAAAAAACAAAAATATTTATTTGAAATAATAGTTTTATTTCTTTTAAATAGAGCTTTAATCAATGATTGGGCATCATCAATATCACCTGATATTTATTCATATGCACCATTTATTTATAATATAACTATAGATGGAAAATATGTTGAAGTTTTAGTACCATGTAATCAAGGTAATTGGATTGATTGTACAAATGATAAACAACAACAACAACCAGTGGAAAATAGTAATTACAAAAAGAGAAATTTTTTTTTTAAATATTGAAAATTCTTTTAAGATTATATTTTCGTCTGGGCAAAATCAATCTCATTGAAATATCCATTACCATTTTTAGAAATTTATCCAACAGTTACACCAATGGATATCACAATTTAGGTATGTCTTTTGCTTTTAAACAAAAGAAAAATTATTTTTGTTTTGTTTAGGTTAATGATATTCTCGCTCGTCTTGTTATACTAGAAAGTAGTCGAATGTATTATATTCTTGAAGGAATTGATGCTCATAAACGATTTTATACACTCAATGGAATTAAATCTCAATTATTTTTATTAGATGCATTTGAAAGACGGTAAGAGGAATATAAAAGATTGAAGATCATCGGATACAATCTAAAAATCTTGAACCGAGGATTCCTAACAAGGACAGTATAAAATGTAGCAGTTATCGTATCTCTGACACAGTTACTTTCGAATTTCAATAAGAAAATTTTATTGAAGATCTTATCAGATCGATCGGTATCTGAAGAATTTCTATAAATCCGATCCCGGTCATAGAAAGTTTAATTCATTAAGTCCGAATCCAAAAGTTTTGCACTCGACGATCTCTAGACACAATTTTCTCACTATTGAACTCATCAGTTATATGATTAAATATCTTCGAGAAATATAACTAAATAATAGCAGCAGCAGTTGTCTTTTCGATTTCATAAAAGCGAATTCTAATGGATCTAAGAAAAATTGACCTCAGAATTTCTGACAAGTTGTTCGGTTCTTAAAAGTCAACAGAATTCGTATTTTCTATATTGATTTCACATTATTATAAAGCTCGATAGTCTCTGCTGGATTCTACCTAAGTCGATGATTTCGAACTTTGGAAATGAATGGAACTTGGACGGAATATCTTCGAACATTTTTCACGAGAACGAATAAGATGTTGATCAAGACTATTTCGTCCAAAATATTGCATTGAAGTTCCATTGATTTCTTGCTAGAATTGATGTTTTCCAATGATTTATAATTTTATTTTTAAAGTGATCGTTGTTTTGATTGTTGTAAAGTTAATAATATAAAAAAACTTGTTCAAATTCTTCTTCATACTTCATCATCAATTGATACGAATAGATCTGGTAAAAGAAAATGAAATTTTTCATAAAAAAATTTCTTTTTTCTTTTTAAGATCTTTTATATATTCAACATGTTAAATCAATGAATAATCGTCAAACATTTCATCCAAATAAATTAGATTATGATGTATTTAATATTGAAATTGATATTGGTCCAGTAAATTTATTTTTATATGGTTTATTTTTAAAAAAAACTTTGGTGGATTAAAGTAAGTTTTATAATAAAATTTATATTTTCATAGAAAATGAAATATTTTTTAAGGAAGCTTTATTTGATTGGAATCAAATATATCATGATATACGTGAACCTGAATTAATATGTGAAAAAAAAAATTATTGTACATGATATGATCCACTTGTTGATTTAATTGATGAAACTCATCCATTTGATCGAAGATATTTTCGATCATTAAAAGTTACTTTACATGTTGCATTACATAATATAACAGCTCATTTTCTTCATGTAAATTTAAACAATAATCATTTGTTATATAATTTTAGCATATCGATAATGAACCATATCCAATAGCTTTTTGTGAAAGATTTTGTGTTGAAATGACAACGGATTTAGATGAAACAAGATTACAAGTATTCTTTTTACTAATTAATCTTTATATTGAAGATAGAATCGTTGTAAGTAAACGAAAAAAAAACACACTTGTTTGTTATATCTCAAACCCTATCTTGACATATTATTGATTAAGAAAGAGACCACAGGTCAGTCAAGAATACCCATCATGGGCAAAAATTTTGACATATCATTTTTATGGTTTCGAAAGAAAGCTCAAACAAGATTTTAACTTGATCAGACGAAATTCTGAGAAATTAGAGAAGAAACATTGAGAGGAAAGTATCGACCGATTTTGGTATTTTCACAATATCTTGGAAATGATTCAATGCATTAAATCGAGTAGCATCTCAAAGGATAGGAAATTCTTTTCTCTAAAAATCAGTGTATTTCAGACGTTCGTATATATATATATGGGTGAATTGCATTTCATTTGTACAATTGCATCATTGGTACTAAATCATGAATATCTTTTGTTTGAAAGCTTCGAATGACTTGAAAATTTTACACAACACTCCTCTCTGTGTCTTCCTACACTTCTAACATTTTGAGTAGTCTACGTCACTCCTATCTCGGGTTATGCCTCTTGGAAGTGAAAAAAAGCAAAAATTGGAGCCATCTCTTGATGAAGACAAAAACTTTTTCAATTACGAAAAGTTTAAGCTCGCGTTTCCTTCAGTACAGTTAGGTAGAAAAAAGTGCAGAGAATCAGAATCTGACTTTTGTTTTCTTTAAAAAAGCTATCTTTAATAAATATACGCAAAATACCGACTTGACAGACACTTTGTCTTTTTTTTTGTCCCGTTATCCCAAGATATGATTTTCTCTAGACAGAAATATGTTGGCCAACTTGGAGTGGTTTGAAAATAAAGACGACCGGTAGGAACAACTTTTCTGAAAATAAATTCTAGACTGCATCAAGATCTTGAATGGGTATGAGCGGACAAGTTTGGAAAAAGTCATATATATACTCATTTTGTCCCGTTATATTTTGAATTTTCTGACTTGAATATCTCTTTACCGGGTTGATTGTTTTGCGTGAAATTTATACCTTTTTTTCCTCTCTATGTTTCCTACTTGTAGTAAAAAAATCAGCTCTTTGCCGCGTTCTATGGCTGAGATAATACCAAGTCATATATGAAATGTCCCGTTATATTTTTTTCATGCAAAATGTCCCGTTATGTAAAAAGTTGAATATCTCAGTCAAACGAAGGTTAATCTTGAACTTATTATATACCATTCGATTCGTCATCGGTAGGCCGATCTAATGGTATACCTTTCAGAAGGAAGTATTCCTTTATAAAAGAATAAGCTACAAATATACTCCGCTTTCTAAATAAACAATTTTTCACTGCCATATTGTATGACTTTTCATGGATTTCTTCACGGATTATATTTATTACGACGTTCAGCCATAAAACGTTCGATAAATCTAATCGAGCTGCATCGATTTATGTATGATTTGTTCCATTCTGTTACGAATTACAGAATAGTTTGGCCGAATACTGTGATAATGCATATAGATACATAAGTATGCATTTTCACGGTATTGTAACAGTGATCTTATTTTTGAGCAAAGTGTAGGGAAAACAAGTTTTTCTAGATTTTACAAAGTGCTCTATCAAAATATTCAACTAGTTTTTTTATGTGAACATTTTCTTTTTTTTGATTTTTTTTGTTCGAATTGTACAAATGGAATGCAATTCACCCATATATGTTAGCGTTTGTTCTTTTAAGTCAAATCAGGAGCAAAATCATGAAAATTCGAAGAGCTCATTTTTGACCTATTTTGGGTGTCACGAATAAATATCAATCGGAATCAGAAATTTTATTTCTACTACAGATAGAGCTTGAAAAATACTACAAAGTAAACTCACTTAGAAGTTTCAATCTTTACGAAGAAGTATTTTTTTTTGTGAGCCACAATGTGACAATTTATAGATGCTTTTTGTCTATTTTTCAATTTATTTTTTGATCTAGAACATCATAATACAATTCAATGAACAAATAAATATCATATTCGTAATCAACATCAAAAATTGCGTTAAATAAGCAGTGTTTTTCTAGAGAAAGAAATTTTCGTCGAAATATTGGCCCTAGAAGAAGAGTACAAGCGAAATTATTCAGAAAAAACGGCTGAGAGGGAGTAGGGCGTGTATTTCATGAAATTTGTTCGGAGAGGAAAAATAATATCTTGTTAGATTCAGTTTTTAAAATAATCAAAAAGCATTTATACATTGTCATGTTGTCGCTAATAAAAAAAGTACTTCGTCGTCATAGAGATTAGAACTTCTAAGTGAGTATATTTTGTAGTATTTTTCAAGCTCTATTTATAGTAGAAATAAAATTTCTGGTCTTGATTGATGCTAATGTGTGACACACAAAATACATCAAAAATGAACTCTTCGAATTTTTACGATTATACTTCTGATTTGATTTAAAAGAACAAACATTAACATATAGTTTTGCTCATGTCGGATATTCTTCTAAATGCTCGATTGAGTCATGAACTCTGTCTTAAAAAAAATATTCTCTTTTGTTTATATAGAGAAATAAATCCGATCAATATTTATCTACTGAAAGTCTTCAATTATCTGATTTAATTATTCATGGTCATGCTATGCTTTCACATGAAGATTTACTATCTGAACGTGAAACACTTGAATATGCTTGGCAATTGGAAGTTATTTTTGATAAAGTATTAGCTCGTGTAACAACAATTCAAGTAAAAAAGAAAAGAAAAAATTCTTTTTCTTCTTTAATAAATTTGTTTTTTTTATTAGATGGAAAAAATTTTTATTTACAAATAATTGAAGATGAATATATACTTACACGTTCACCTGTTATTGATAGAACAAAATGGATTGAAAAATTTAAATATGATGTACTTCGATTTAGTCTAGATTCAATTGATTTTAATTTTGTTGAAATTGGTAATGTTGTTAATATTCAAGTAAGAAATTATTTATTCAATCATTCTCCTATATTCATCTTGTTTTTTTTCTTTTTATATTCAGATTGCACCTATTCGTTTATGTATATATAATATGCATACGATATCATGTAATGAAAGTTTAACATTAAAAATTGACACAATTCAAATCCGATAATTATTATGTTTATATTCCAGTTCATGGTTAGAAGTTGGTTCGATTAATGTACTTGAATTACGTATTAATGCAAAATTTGAATTTCATCCACCGACTCCAGTTAATATAAATGAACAATTAGAATTTCTTCGTCGACATGATCAACAACTTCATTTTCTTTACAGTACAAAATCTCAACAAATAATAACATCAACAACAACAAATTTAAAACATACGAGGTAAACAATTTTTTAAAACTTCATTTCGTCTTACGGTTAGTAAATAAATAACATTTGGTCGTTCATTATTTCGTTTAGATTTACATGTTATACATTCACATGAAATATTTCAACATAAATATAAATGAAATACATATGATAATCATTCAATTAATTTTAATAATGATGATTTAAATGATGAAGAAGTTTTTTATCCATTTGATTGTTTGTACACAACAAAAACAACAAAAAATTATTGATGATGAACAACATTAAAATTTAAATGATAATAATTTATATCATAGTTTACCGGCAAATTTATATTCATTATCACGACAAATTCAGAAAAATATATAAAACATAAATCAATTATTGATAAAAATGAACATAAACATTCATCATCATCAATACTATTAAATAATAATAATCCAATATCAATAATTCCAAATTATGTTTATTTAACATCAAATGAACAATTATCATTAATAAATTTAAGTCAATCAAGTTTGAATTCAACATTAAATAATAATAATATTAATCGTATGAAATCATCATCATCAACCACATATTCAAATTTAAATTTTGTTATCAAAAACAATCGATAATAAATATGATTTATTAACAATATCATCACATTTATCATCAATAGATTCATTAAATGCTTTAGAAGAAATACTTCAAAGACAACAAGCTAGACATGATTCAATATATTTACTTCAAAAAGTATAATTTTATCACGATTGAAAAATTCTAGAGTTGTGTTTTTCTCTCTTAAAATAGGATATTATTTGAGTTCGAGGATTAATACACTTTAGATTGTCGATATTAGAACTTGTTGGTTCAAGCTTTTCGAACTCAACGGGCTCGAATTAAGTGTTCGAGTTTATCTCGAAGACAAGTCTTGGAACATAGTTCGATCTGCATGAATTTATGAATAACAACTCGTGTTTGTAGGCATTTCTATAATAGTCATGAAATACATAGATAGCTGATCATTATTTAGGAATATCAAGTTTCGTTGTTCGAAAAAAAAAAAATTTTAAGAGAACCTCCAGGAGAATATCAATGATCATTCCACTATATTAAGCATTGGTCAAAGTTTTAATTTTCGATTCTGTCTATGTATTCGAAAGATCATTAACTAAAATCACCAAAATCAAAGTTTTTAGCTCATTTAGATGTGTTATAGTAAAGTTAGCCTATATTGACTTTTCAATACTATCTATTTATAATCAAGAAAACTGTTCCATAAATGTCTACTAGAATCACACGTCACTAATTCAGAGAATATTCTCATATAATATATATTAAAAGATAGAGCATGAAAAACAGAAAAAAAAATGGAAAAGATCATGATTTAGATGTTTATAATTTTGAAATCAAAAGACATCAAACTGACTTTTTTGATATATTATGTAACTTTTGACTTTCTACAAAATGTTAAAAAACTATTGAAAAAAATAAGTTCACTTTCGAAGTGATATGTGATTTACATTGTGAATAACTCGATGAATAGTCTCAAGAAAAATGAACTCGAGATATTTTACGATGTCGTTTATTCATGAAAATTTTCATCCTGAATACAATGACACGGACACTTCTCTCGAAAAATAAAAACAACAATTTTGAGTTCCAAACCCTGAGGTGGGAGATACGAAAATCTCGAGAAAAAAAATGACCACAAATTTCTTTTTCGTCAAATTGACTAATGATCATCCAGATCTATAGAGGTTTGCACTCTGATTACAGCCATGTGACCGAAGTTCACTAGGAAGCGCAGTCTAGTAGTACATGGAACAACCTTCTGATGAAGCATTAGAGAATTCATAGCAAAGTATATGATCTAGAGAGGTCTATCATATGAATATGATTAATGTCCAAAGTTCTATTGGTCTGAATGATCATTATTCAATTTTCTGATAAGAAAATTTTTCTCATTTTTATTTTAAAATTCTCATTCTTTCCAGAGGAATTGGAGCGGCAAAATTTCTTTTTTTTTCATTTTTTGGGAGAACTCTATTTATGCCATTCATTTTAGTATGAAGTTCTAATTTTTCCAAGACGAAAAGTTTCATGAATAAATGACACTGCATTCGTTGATACTGTTTACCAAGCTACTTATAGTATAAGTCTCATATCGCTTCGAAGATGAACTTTTTCTTTCAATATTTTTACGACTTTATAGAGAATCAAACGTTACATAATACATCAAAACTTCAACTTGATGTCTTTTGATTTAAAAATTATAAATACTCAAATCATGATCTTTTCCATTCTTGTTCGACTATATAACAATTCCAGTTAATAGATAATATTTAATATTTTAAATAACTCATTTTCTTCAGTTAAAAAAAAAATCAAAAAGTCAAATTTTGACCAATGTCTCATATAGTGAAATAATTTTCGATATTCATACGAATGCTCTCTTAAATTCATAATATGATTAATGAAATAAATCTTTCTATCTTCAGGTTATATCATCATCAATGAAATACAATTTTATTCTTCAATCATTTTTACCAGATTCATCATGAATTAGTCTACGTAATCAAATGAAAATACCTATACCAAAATCGACTCTGTTATATACAACATATATTCGTTATTTATCACATTATCATTCTTCAACATGGTCAAATATAGCATCATTTTCACCTAATATTCGACAAGATCAAGTTTATCAATTGCACCAACAACAACTTCAATAGGTTCATCAAATGTAATTGCAACTGAAAAAGAAATATGTCTTAGATTTATTGGAGCATTTAATATACTTTTAACACTACTTATGCTTGAATATTTAACAATATATATTGAAAAATTGAAAACATCTGATATACATCCAATATCAATTCTTGATGGTCTTCATTTTCAAGCTCAAACACAATCAAATCTATCAATACCATTAAAAACACCAATTGATTTATCAACAACAAAAATATCTTTACAATTACCAAAAATAAATGTTTGTTTATTACAAGTTGGTTTAGCTGAAGATAATGTTCAATTAACTGAATTATGAACACCATTTGATATCGTAACAATGTCATTATTTGTATTATCATGTAAACAAATACAAATGGAAACAATTTTATCTAAACATGATCAATTCACAGCTGATGTTTTTAAAATTCAATCTATAACAAGACAATTTCGTCAATTTGAAAATGATTTTTTGTTCTATTGAAAATGTTAATATACAGAGTGTCCCAAAAGTTCGGACAGAAAGTTAATCTAAATATCTCTTATATAACTCAAGCAATTTAATTGATTTTTTTTATAATATGCTAATATGTCCTTTAAAGTTTTATTTCACATAATTCAGTTTGTAACAAATGTTCAAAATGGCTATGCCAAACTGAAATACATAAATCTATCGTTTTCGAAATCTTTTAAAAGGTATTCGAGGAAATTTATTTTCTTTTCTGTATCGGTCCTTATTTTGAATATAACTAAATCTTTATATATATATATTTTATAGGCATAGGTGTTCACTTTATATTTATCAATAAGCCATTTAAATGAAAAGAGTCTTTGTCTGAAAAAAAAAGAGCTCTCCTCATTATGGATATTTTGTAATGTGTGGATCAAAGTGATATAATGTCAACTCGATATTGCGAATATTCTTCATGAAGTTGTACGACAAATTACACTCTGTATAGGTTCATTAGTTGATATTCAGTGATAATTATGTCTGCTATTATTCATAGAATGAAGCAGGCTCTTGCAACAACTCGAATACTCGATAGTGGCATATTTTCACAATTCTCATAAACTTCGCGGATTTTCTCTTCTGTAAATTTTGAAGTTCTTTCAGATTGTTATCTATTTACTACTATACTCATTTCGCAAAAGACTTGGAAAGCATCAATTGTACAGGTCTATGTCTGGCGTTTCCATGCCAAATCCGACTTGCATTTTTCCTTTCATAACGAGAGATAACTCAAATTTGGCCATTAATAAAACTATTTTAATTCTAATGTTTATAAGCCCAGATATTTATCTGAAAATATACGAAATAAAACTTTAAAGAACACACTAACATATTATAAAAAAATCAATTAAATCACTTGAGTTGTATGAGAGATATTTGAATTAACTTTCCTTGCAAACTTTTGAGACACCCTATACATTCACAATTGTGATATTTGTTATCAACACTTCATTGAATTCTAGTTTCGTCAATCAACAAATGGTTCATTTGTTTTTTTTGGGTGGAATTTTAAATGAATCTCTTGTTTTTTGTTGCTGTTTATAGAAGAAATAAAAAACTTCGCTTTCAACAAGAATATAGCCTCAAAACTATAATAATGATGAAAGTATATAAGATCAGAGTATCTAACCATAGTTTTTCTTGACTTTTCTTTTCATATAAAAGTAAGAAATACACATAGTTTCCCTCTGGTGTAATTGTTGATTGATCTGTTCGACTTCAGGTTATACAATACTAATTAAATTTTTTAGTTCCAATACGATTCCATTTATTTTTTGTCGGAACCGCTAGGCGGCTCATACTTTTGTTACTTTTAACTCAGAAATGATTCTTCTTCTTCTTGAATATATATTTTGTTTTCAATAGATGTCGCTTCTGATTATTTTGTCCGACTTGATTAAAAAACTATAATGTTTTACTGTATAACTACTGAAATAGTATTTACGTATATTTCTTTATCATATTAAAAATATAATAATAATTTGTTTTTCGTTTTTTAGACATTTTGCTATTGGATAAAGATTTTGAACCAATCACATGCAATAGTAAAATAAATGAATGATTGATATTTATGCTTATTCAATAGACTACATTCGAATAATATATGTTTCAGTTGATGTAATATTTCGTTTTTTTGTTTTTCTTTTTTGGGACAAATAGAATAAATTTTTTTATTTTTTGAATTTTATTAAATATAAACGCGCTAAAAATTATTTCAACGAATAAACTCATAAATGAATTTTTATTTTTTCTTCATAGATGACATGAATTATGAAAAGAAATTCCGTATTTTACCTAATTCGATAGGTTTTCATTATTTTTTCATTATTATTCTCATTTCTTGCATATTGGTAGTTAATGGAAAAAATGATCTAACGAAAAATGTTATCGATATTACTGGTGATGAAAAACCTGTATTTGATATAAATTTTGGAAAACATAAAAAATATTCTATTGATGATTGTATACCATTAGCATTTGGTGATTTCAATGCTGATAAAGTTATTGATATATTTTGTCGAAATACAAAAGGTATAATTTAGAATGAACAAAAAAAGAAAAAACAAAAACTTTTTTATTATTATAAATTAGGTGATAGAATACGAATAATGTTAAATGATGATCGATCACCAACATCAAAAGAACAATTCAATATAAATATAACTGGTATTATTTATGATGCATTAGCAGCCGATTTTAATGGTGATAGTAAACTTGATTTATTTGTACTATATAAAGAAAAATTTGATCAAACTGGTTATAATGGTGGAATATTTTGGGGTGATAGAATTAAATTAAGTAAGTTGAAAAAGAGATTGAAATAAATATTTTATAATAATAAGTTTTATTAATTTTGTTTTTTTTAGATGTTTTACAACCACTTGATTATCTATTTGAAAGTATTCCAACAACTCTTGAGTAAATTTTTGTTTTGGTTTTAAAGATTTGAATAATTTTTCTTTTTTGTTAAATTTTAGTGCAAATGGTGATTCATATGTTGAATTATTAGGAATGATTAGTACGGATAAAAAAAATTTTAAACCAGCTTGTGTTTATCTGTAAGAAAATTGTTTTTTTTTTCTTTTTTGATCAAATTAATTTTTATTTTTTTATTTTTAAGTAAAAATAATACTAGATCAACCGTTGAAATTTTACCTAATATTGATAATTTTCGTCCGAGTTCAACACAAGCTTCAGTTGATCTTAGTCATGATCTTGTTGCTGGTAAATATATTAATTATTGTTTACTGAATTAGTCTGAAGTTCTTTTTACAGATTATTCCAGTGTTTTATCCAGAGGGGTCCCCGGGGGGCGGCGCCTCCCCTCCCAAAATCGAGTTCACCCTCCCGAGACTTGTGATAATCGTGCTACGAATACATGGCTTGCCCCCCTCCCCCTGAAAATAATTTTTCGCCCCTCCGGAGAAAAAAATCCTGGATTATTCAACGAATGAGGGAACTTCTGCAAGTGTTACGGGCTCATATTTTGTCTATAAGTAAGACTCTGATAAGGTTAGTTGAAGTTCGGAAAGATTCGTTCCGATACGCTGTCCTTCGGGAGTTACAACCGTTTTACTGGTTTTCTTTTTTTTTTGAACCTCTGACAATAATATTTTATAGAGAAGTCCAACAATGAAATTTTTTGTACATAAACAGATCTCGTGGTCACTAAAAGTTTCAGCTAAAATGAACGTTTCTTTTTTCGAGATATTGAGTTTTCAAGAAACTCGATTTTTTTGACCTTTGGCTTTGAAATATGATCGTTCCTTGAAAATTTAATATCTTGAGAAAGAAACGTTCATTCTAGTGACCATGAGACCTGTTTATGTATAAAAAAATCTCATTGTTAGAGGTCAAAAAAAACCCCGTAAAACAGTCCTAACTCCGGTAGGACAGCGTATGGGGACGAATAGTATCCGGGCTTCTACTAACCTCATCAAGTCTTACTTATAGGCAAAATATGAACTTGATCGACGATTAACACTTGAAGAGGTTCCATCGTAAACCTAATTCAAAGCGCTGCGCAAATGCTTCAAGACAAAGAGATGAATAAATAATACAAAAAGAAAAATCTAAGTAGTAAAAGTTACTATAACATTGAAGGAATGAAGAAAATGACATGAATAGTGAACGTAACTATAGACAAAGTAAAGTTTGTAAATAGATTGAATTTATGCACGAGCTTTATACTTTGAATCAAAGTATTTAGATGAATTTTAATTATGCATTTATATTTTATTAGATTTATTTTTAACAATTCAAACTGATAAAAAAATAAAATATCGTATATATGAATTACCAATAACAAAATTAACATTAATTAAAGAATATGATCCACCACCAGGTGTTGCTATTTATCATTTATCAGCATTTGCTGATATAGGTATTTTGAGAAAAATTAATATATTGATTTTCTTATAAAATATAATATAGATGCCGATGGTGAATTAGAACATATTCTTCCTGTTTGTATGGATACTAGTTGTTCACAAAGTCGAATTTATGTTCGAGATGATGATGCTGTAAGTTAAATATCTAAAGTAGATTGAACTCTCAATTTATTGGATGAAAAATAAAGCTTTTTCATTGTAAAATAAAATTTTTAATGAATTTGAATAAGATCCTAGGTGGATTTATTAAATAACAAAAAAAATTTAATCAATAGATTTTAAAATATTTCATAAATTTGTTATTATATCTTCTGAAGGTTTTTTTCTTTTGATTAGTTCAACTCAAGGTTTAAAATAGAGATTTTTGTTACTAGTAGAAATTTAATGCCGTCGTGGTGACGGCAATGTGACCTCTCGTTTGTATTGAGATGTAGCAGGTAAGAGAAAAATATCGCTTGAAATGCTATAAAATATGAAACTTTCATTTAATTGGCTCATCATCTATAGAAAGTAATTCCATTGATTTTAGCTGACATTTGCAAACCGGTTCTTCTACTGCATACTGTTGATAGATGACGCCATGATGAAATATGAGAAAGGTAACACCACCTATTGACACGTCAACAGTATCCAGTAGAACACACGTTATTTGATAAAAAAAAAGAAAAATCTTTTTTTTTTCAACAAAACTATATAATATTTGTTGTTATTATATTGAAAAGCTTGTAATTCTAAATTTAAAAAAAGAAAATTTATTTTTTTTTAGTGGCATCAATTACCAATTCAATTTGGTAATGGAATACGATTTCCTTTACAAAATGAATTTTCAGCACCATTTAATCAAATACCAATTAGTATTAAAATAGCTGATTATAATCTTGATGGTTATCCAGATATGGTTACAGTGATGAATGAAAG